AGCTACATAATGAGTTTTATTGATTTGTCATTAATTAGGTATAGATAATCATTGACTGTTTGAATGATTGTCGGTCTTGTCAACATTTTTAGGTAGGTAATACAGCTTTTTTTCGAAACGTAGTCTTCAGGTTAAATTGCATAATTGGGTGCCACGATCACGTTTACATATTATTACAAATAAGATTATTGATTACCCAGGATGGAAAGCAGAAGCGTAGGCAACAATAGCCTGGTGCAACTGCCAGGTGGTTTGTTGATATAGTAGTTTTAAAAAGACGGCAGCGCCGACCTGGACAAGATGCTCCACAAATAGAACAATGTGGAAAATTATGCAAAAGGCATACATCCTATGCTGCTATATGCTGCTATATATATACTGCTGGAGTAGACTAATAGATGCTGAAAGAAAAGAGACGAGAGATAAGATTATTGATAGTATAAAATGAAGCCACTTCCGCTGTCTATTCGCTTATATCTTTTAAGCTACGCAACAGATTTTAATGCAGTTTTAGTAATAGATAAGACTTCAAGAGGAAGGTTTATATTTACGCATAATACTTGTACTCCGTGCGTAGCCGGGGCGGGTAGCTAGTTTATTATTTATACATATTTACTTTTTAAATTAAAAAAACTTAATTTTTTATATCTGCTGTGGTTAGAAAACAACCTGCAAATCCATATGCCTTCGTAAATAAATTACTTATTACCAACGAAAAAAGGTGTCGATGAAAAACTGATGTATAATTCGTCAATAACACGGCTTTCTCTCACCACAGTAAGTTTAATAATAAAAAAATATTGAGACGCAAGTGCGCCCGCATGCTACAACTAGTGACAATTAATTGTTTCGAAGAAAAAGACACGCCCTTGCCATCGTTTCCATAATCGTTTCATTAACAATGGATTTATGTTCAAGTATCCCATTATCTGTCAATTATTCTAAGCTGCTACCTTAACTCTTGACAAATTAAACTCATCATAACAGTTTCAGATTAATGATCATCATAATCATGACAACTCATTAGCTTCTACTATTAAGGATGGTTTTATTATTATAAGAGGAAGTATATCCTTATGAAACAAGTAAGTTTAAGTTTTTGATTTTATTCATTTGGAATTGCAGACAAACTGACTGTCCATTGAATGGTGAGTAATATACCTCTCATGAGTTACAATATTACTGACTAAGTTCTAATCATGACGAGGTCGGTGCTCTAGCGGTTTAGCCGTTTTACCGTCTTACACTGATGATGACGATATCTTTATTCCGTTCTTATTTCCGGTGTTCGATTCCTCGAAATGTCGATGTCCTCGATTAGTCTGGGTGTTTTCAAAGTATTATGTAATTACAAAAAAAATGTATCCAAGTTTTTATGTCAGTTGTTTAGTACCCATAACACAAGTTCTGCTTAACTTGGGATTAGATGTCGCTGTGTGAATTGTCCAGGGTTGTTATTATATATTAATTTTAATGCCTCTGACCCTGTAATTTCAGTTATCTTTTACCTTTCACTGGATGACAGCTTTGAAATTAAGTTGCTTAGCGGCAGAATTGGAAGACACCGGATAATGACGACTTGCGACGAATATTTAATTATACATGTAAATCTAATAGTATAGTTATGATATTGAAAATAACAATAATCCTTAATACTTTGCTAATATTATAAATGCAAAAGTAATTCTCTGTCTCGCTTTCACGCCAAAACTACTAAACCCATTTAAATAAAATTTGATAGACTACTGAAGGTTGTAAGGGATTGAAAGGGGATATGAAACGTTGTATGGAAGTATCATCACCTTTAAAGATATGTAGAAACTTGAATTTTAGACTAACACACGAACGAAGTTGCGAACACAGCTAGTGTTAGTTAATATTTACGAATTACCTATATTTATATATCGGTAATTTGAAAATATTAGCCGTTACAAAATTGATTCATTATTTTGTCAGGTTTGCAAATAAGTTTAAACTTTAAATCAACATCATGTTTGTTTAATATCTATCGTTATATGTATGTATATGATACATCATACATCATGTATGAATGTAATATGAATAATGATAATTATAAAAAAATGTGCTTGACTTATTTAGTCAAGCATATTTTTTTATTAGGTACTATCATTATTCACAGCTTTCAGCTTACTTATAAGAGAGAAAACATAATGTGACTGATGTAAATTTGATTAGTTATTCCTATGTTTTAATCTTAAATTTCAAATTCAGTATTTCGAAATATGAGGGGTGACCGTAACAGATGATCCAAACTAAAAATATACAGATTTTATCTATCACATTCGGTTATGCCAAAATCGTGACAAATTGTATTTAATTGCGCAATAGATACCTATCTAAAGAAATCAAACAGCACTCCCATAACTAAATCTGTAGGTAGTACAGCGTGGCATTTTCACCGGCCGTTCCCACGGTTGCGCACGCAACGGCCCAATTACTGGACCACACTAATTTTAGTGCCCGTGGACACGCGCAGTGTGCCTAATCTGCTCTTCTTCTCATCCTTCAAAATCGCTTCTAGAAACAATGTTAATGTATGTTAAATGGAATGAAACAAGTTACCGGTTACTGATTCGAAGTGGTAAGCGTCGCCTACAGATATCTTGAAATGAAATTGTGGCTCCCGTGATACTCGATTAATGTATTGCGGGTCCCATCCTATAATCTCACTGCCATATATAATTATTGACACGGCGAATATAACGACAGAATTGTGTAAGATACAGGTATTCTGGCATACGAATACGATTTTGTTCTCACATTGTCTCCTTTGATGGAAACAAAGATAAGAAGAAAAAACAATTTAATGTTACATATAAATCGTAATCATAGCTATTTTCTACCTATATTGAATTTTGTCGTTTATCTGCGCAAATATCAAAACATCTACGCCCTAATAATAAACAATACAATAAGATCATCTTTAAACCTTAATTTATTACTTAAAATAACTTTGCAAACATAAACACTTGTTGAACAAATAAATACAATAATAGTTATTTAATAATGTGGGTAGACCCACTGTTTTGAGAGTCCTGTGTTAAGGTTAGGACCTTACACATAAAAACTTAACGTAATACTCGCCAAACACTTACTATGTCGCAGTAAAACTGTGAAAATATGCAGATACAAATTTATAATAATTTTCCTAATACTTTGAAAATTAACAAAATATTTTTGAAATGAAATTTGCATGAATGGTTAATCAATTAATAATTTTATAATGTGTAAGATATTGGCCTCGTGTAACTATAGACTGGAGAGATCCTCGTTTACTATTATATGAGGTATGTGTAACTCAATATTAAATTTTGCATGACATTGCTATTGCAAAGCACATATTCTTATCTCTAAATAGCCTTCTTTGTATTGTGTTTGGAGCAAATAAATAATTTATTATGTTATATGTTTGAGAAGTATGGATGAAGAACGAGCATCAGAGTCAGAGAAAGAGATCGACGTACTAAATTATACATTCACGACATATTTACTGGAGTAGTTGGAGACATTCAACTGATGACGACTCAAAACTATTATACATTCCGATCTGACGTCAGATTTCAATCTGTCTGCAATAGACCTACATGAATAATGATATTTTAATTTGATTTGATTGATTTGTGGTGAAAGTAACATTTGAAATGCCCAAATTTCTCTGGATAGTGTTTGAACCGGGGGGATAGGGGGTTATTAATAATGTGAACTGATGATCTTATTGCAAGCAATGTACCATGTCAGGTTGACCTCTACGCGGTTCCCCCTGGAAACCCTCGTGGTAAATTCTTGGTAAATTTGTCACGATGGACTAACTGACGCTCATTCCTCATGCTCATCTTATCATCTCCTACTGGTGCTCCGCCAGCAGAAACAGTTAACGTAAGTGGATGCACCATTCCATTATCATCCATAAAAAAAATATATATTTGAACCCAATGTACAGTGAATAAATCGTGACAGAGGGTGCGTTTGTGGCTCGTGTACTAATTTTGTTTGTTATCGTCATTCCTGCTACCGGAGAGTCTGACAAGTATACATACCCACTTTGATACAGAAATGTAAGTCTTATTATATAATGATATATACACTGATTTAATTCATTTAACAGAAGTTATTATGTTAACCTACAAATTGAATAGTAGTAATGTACGGATGTCAAGAACATATTGTGAAACACCTTATTAGTTACCTAATTTTGGCAAATAAAGTATTATTCTTATATTTTATCTTTTTATTATCTCGAAATAATTTGGTATTATAATTTAGTATTACGGGTCACACTGACCGAGAAATTATAATTTCTTCCTTAAATATTGTATTACTTTAATTATTTAAAAAAAATGTTGGTATCCGCCAGATTTGAACTCAGATTCTATGGAGGCAGAGAAGTAAACTAGTATAAGTAAATGTAATACCCTCTTAAATATTTTATATTTAGTTCTTATTCAAGTCGACATAGACACAGTTTTAATGAGATGAAATGGTTTACATAAGTTCGACAATGTATCTAGTTGTACCTAGCTTTAATATAGTCGTACTTATTATTCCGTACTGACCTGTAATGCGTACCCACTTACAATAACGAATAAACATGCGCGGCGTGAGAATCAACAATAAAGCTTTACCACTATACCACGAAGAAATTCTCTTGAATATTTCATGAAATACTACTAATTATCACTCTATTGTAATAGAGGACATGTTGATGTAAGTACAAATATCAAGTGATTTTAAACTTTCCAGCCATAGTGATAGGAATTAGTTTTCTAGATTTTCAATTTACTGCAAACCCGTTCCCATGAAAGAGTCAATTGTAAGGAAATGAGACCTTTAGCAATGTTATTGTAATTTAACATTTTATTGCTGAATGATGATGAAGTTCTGGTTTGAAATTATGTGTAAATCCAACGTTGGAACAATGTTTGTTCATACAATTTATATTAGTAATTTTAATGAAAGTCAAAATGTATTAAAAACATAATTTTATTATTTTTTAATCATTACGCAGTGTACTAACATTATTATTTTAGCATCCTATTATATATTTCCTACACTATTGATGTTAACTAAACATATCACAGAGTCAAGCTTAGGTGCTACACTACACTTATATCTTTATAGTAAATGCGTTAATGCCGACGTGGAAGACGTTGATTAGGAATCAATAACAACGGATTACTTTAACAAAAACCTTATTTTATTTAAATAGGAAATATTAAAACAAACTTGAACAAGCAAAGCGAGTAAAACTCATGCAACTTTTTCAACACACATCGGTTCTAGGAACGTTAATAGAAACAAAACAAACAACGTTTGTGATTATCACACTTGGAGAAGTCACACAGTCCAGTAGAGGAGAGATCATGAGGAGCTACAGCTTTGGTGGTCACCAAGGCCTCCACATCGACTGGGTGGAGTCCGACTCAGAGGCGGGGCTGTGGGGCGGCGAGGGCGGCGCGTACGCACGCTTCGCTAACACCGCTTCTGGGTCCTGGGGCCCATCCAAAGGCCTCTTCATACTTCGGTCTGATAATGATGTCCTCTGCAACGGTGTGATGTGTTGTGGGCCAGAGTGCTGCGGTGGAACTGGCTGCAAAGGTGTCGGCCGAGCTACTCCATTAGGTGCGATCGGCTGAGGCTGCACAACGTGAGGGGTTTCAAACCTTCGAATGCAATTGCTCAAGTGTTGCAGCAACCTCGCTCCAGCTTGAGGATCCACTGGCCCCTGAAGTTGCATCGCGTTCGCTGCTATCGTGGCTTTTGTGATGAATTGTGACACTTCTGAAGCACACTGCGTGAAACCGGCGCGGAATCGGTCCGTGTATGACATTTCGGGTTTTAGCACTAATTGTCCCCTGCTCTTGAGGCTATGTAAATGTCGAACAGTCAGTTCCAATATGTCTGCCTTTTCCAACTTGGAAACATTTTCGCCTTCAGCTTGAAGAGCGGTCACCATCAGATCTTTGAGCTCGTCCAAGCAGCGATTGATGCGTGCTCTTCTTTTTCTTTCAAGCATGGGTTTCATAACTTTTCTGTACTGGTAAGTTCTGGAGACGGGCTCCTCATCAGGCTGCGTGTGCGCTGATGCCGGCGCGTGAAAAGCGCCTTGCGGCGGCGACATATTTCGGGCGGGTAAGATCATTGGTAGTGCGCGCGCGACGGGTTGTGAGCGAATGGCGCGCGCGCCGCCCGCCGCAACGCTTTTATGGACCCTACACCGATTGTGGCAAAACGCCGTGATAAAACTAGGGGTGGCTCACACAAGTTAAATTGTTATTATTTTTATTTATACACATTTCACTCGCTATCTTGTTTTTTTTTTCTAATACAATTTAAAAGTAAAAAATATTCGAATAAATATATATAATATATTCCGAATGATTTATTAATTATAATTTTTTGATGTAAAACTTAAAACATAATTAAACATAAGTTCATATTTTCACGTACGTCTACTCCTTATTAGATTACTTTTTAAAATTTAATTTTTAGACTATAAATGGTTCTCCATTTACAGTTAAGTATCGTTTATGATTAGGTACTGTATAAATAATGTATTTACAAATTACCTAAATGGTTGCTTTTAAAAGTTTAGTACTAGTATTACGATAAGTTCTGTTGTTGTTTTAAAATAAATTAAAATTATCATAACAAATATATTAAAAAATGTATATGTAGACCATACTTTATATTTTTAATGTTCTATATATTTTATTTACATAAATATCTGATCCAAATTACCTAATTCATCTAAGTTAATACGTAGAAGTAACTTGTATTTACAGACCAATAAATGATAATTAATTATAAATAGTTTCTCTATCTAATATAAACTCAAATAATGACTAAATTTGTATAATCCAAAATTACTAAACTAATATATACCTAAAGTATATTATTTTTTATTTATAATTTTGCTAAGATGAAACAGCTGTTGCAGTAAAGGAGGCAGGATAAATAATTACCTACTGAATTTGTATAATGCAAAATTATAAAATAATACATATACAGTTAATGTCATATTTTATCATTTTGCTAAGACGAAACAGCTGTTTCAGTAGAGGGGGCTGCCCTGTTAGCACCTGGCTAGCACGCGTTCCCACGCGCACCCTCGATGCTTTCGTTCCCTGCGCACGAGAAGACGTTCCCCTATGCAGACAGTGACGTCATATCAGAGATTTCTTAACAATAATTCGTAGCCTTCATTATATCATTGAAACATACATTTACTACGCATATAAATTATTATTTAGGTAATAATTATGAAATACTAGCAGACCTTCGTAACTTCGTCCGCATCACACTTACTTGAGATATATCTTTCTATTTTGCCCTATTTGTATAATATCTTTGTAAGTTATATGTGTTATTCTAATGTATAAACTAAATTATTGTAAGGTTTCATCAAAATTCCATCTGTAGTTTTTGCGTGAAAGAGTATCAATTATCCGTCCATCTATACTCATAAATTTTTGCGTTTATAAGATAAAAAGTTAGATCATTTTTGGTCAAGATTGTATTATTTAATCTAGTAATTTGAATAGGTAGAATGCCTAAAAATCCCTTAATCGTTTTATATTTTTTTACATATTTGGATATATTTTATTTAAAAAAAATAGAAATCTTTTAATAATTACACCTGTAAAAACTGGTCGGTAGTTTAATATACTAAATTTTATTCTTTAAGTTTTCATACGTAAGTATAAGTATCTATACTTGAATATATTTATTATAGAAATTATAAATTGAATAAAATAAATTCCCAGTGTGCCAACCCTGAACTGTCGACGGTAAAGCAGGCGTAGGTTTGCGGTGACAAGAGGCGCGTTATCGCCCTGTCGGTCGCAGTGACAGACAAACCGACAAAGACATTGCCTTTACATACTTTTTACTTCGATTACCTATGTAAAAGTATGCATCCAATTATATAGTGTCCCACTTAGAAAGTGCACGTTGTAATTATTAATGTTTAAAAACTATTTGTATTTCGGAGTAACATTAATGTATGTTTAATTTAATACCTTTTTAGCAATTTGGAAATTGACCATGTATCTTTTTTTTATCTAAACTGGATACAATATGTACTTGATGTACCTGTAGTACCTACTAGACGGAAGGCCTATATACGAGTTAACATGATCATCATGAAAATAAACACATATAATCTAATCATTATAAATAATTCCATGCAGATAAAGTATGTAGGTATGATTTAGTATGATCTCGGATATCTACTATACCTACTTATTTATTTATTACAATTGTGGCATATAATTTCGCTACAATTTCAAATAAAATAAGAATGAAAAAAAAATATTAGGTTAACTTAATATTTCTTTATGTTTGTTTCATTAATATTTTGGTAACCTTGTTATTAATTTAATAACTTAAACTGTTGTTTTGTAAATAAAGGAGAGTTTCACTGACAATTTTTTTAATGAGATTGTTTTTGGGGTTATTGTATTCAGATTTCATAAATTGCAACATAGTGCCTTAAATTTCGTCTAGATAAGTAGTACACCTACTTTATATAGAAACGTATAAACAAAAGCATCTCATATAGTAGGTACTTAACAATTAGCGACTCACATAATCCCGCTGAGAACAAAAACATCCATCCTAATTAGTCAGTCAAAACAATAACATTGACTATCACCTTGCAGAGGTGTGAGTTTGTTCCCAGCACCGCTAGTCGACTTGATACCGACCTATTGTGCGGTCGAACCGCCGTGACGCTACTTACTCTAATTCTGTCTCACTGCACCGCAACCTAGAACGTCTTATGTATCAACACTAATCTTACAAGCCCGCCAGAAGCACCATTCTTCTTCACCGGCAGTACACTTACGACGTTTCGCCACGGATACCACCCAGTCACTTAATCGAATAATGACGTAAGCGACGCATCTAGCAGTACCGGACGAGACGTTATTCCACGCAGCCCGCACTCGTGGGAAAGCCCGTGCCGAGCGCGTTCCCACACACTCGCGCGGCACAAGCCAACCGATAAATTATCATAATTCCATTGTGAGTGAGACGGTACTAAGAAATTTTATACTTCATCAATCGCCGCGTTGAATACATTAGCGCGTGGGCACAGTGCTTTGTTGGACGGTGACGGTGACTCCGCCGGCGTGGACAGGAGCGACCCACCCGGGTCGTGTCCTTGTTTTTTTTCTATCACGTATCTTTTTATGAGATAGCCATAAATTCCTGTGCGGCTACGTAACTCTGATGATACAATTTTTCGTGTGAAAACTAAACGGAGACACCTATAAGATGTCGCATTACATATATATATTTTATACGCCTGATACATTTTATTACCTATTATTATGACCCTTTATTATATTAGTAGGTATGATGTAGTATTACAAAGTAGCATAAATGTCTGTTAGTTCGAAATCACTGCTTGTTAGATGAACAAGGCAGATGATGCCTTGTTCATATAACAAGCGTGCTTTACTACTAAAATTATCTTAGATATAAACTAGGTTCTAAAATTTTGCCTGTCTAAGTTCTTTAGATATAAAAACGCCCATGTTTACAGACAATATAATGATAGGTGTATAGGTGCACGTATATATATATTTAAATCTACACTTATTTTATTCAACTGGAAAAGCAAACATGTTGTGGTAAATATAAATTCCTGATGAATTCGGGCTAACTGACCTGACTTCAGGATCATCCTCCACTGAAACAGAATTCAAATTTCAGTTATAATTTCAATGGATTTTCTCTACAAATACCTGAATTTTTAACTAATAATAGGTAATAAAAGAGTGGCATATAATACGAAATTATTATAATTATCTCATAAAATGTTTATAATAGATATGTATTGGTACTATTAAGATTCTACAAAATTGATTTATTTAACTGTTAGAGTAAAAGTATCTATACAGATATATATTTAATTTTATGAATAAAATATAATAAAATTAAAATTCATGGAACGGAAAAGGTGCCAAAAGCTCATTATTTCACACTCATTTCCGATATCCGGTTATAGCTTACAAGATATCATCAGGTACCTAGTATGCAAAAAACAACAAGACAGAAAACTTTCCAATAATTGAAATACAAATATTTGGACATTTTCGGGTGTATTGAACCCGTGGTTTGTACCTCGCAAGCGACTTTTATTGACTCTCTTCAGTATATTATCGTTTAATCTATAAAAATCAACATGGTTACCTACCTTGTAATATTTACACATGATACTCGACACGGGAAAAATATTTTATCGTTAAATAGTAAATTTTAAAATAAACAGGTGTGTCCCGGACATTTTGATGTTGATATTGGAAGTAATAGCTACCACATGCAAGATATTGTGTACCTCCTTACATGTACATGTATATACATAATATGGATATAATTTTATTTGAAAATACTACAATACGAGTTTTGTACTTTAGTATTTTATTGCTCCATAAGTTTAAAATTATACAAATATATATAATTAATATAAATTCGAGTTTCTATTACAAAAAATGTAAAAATTAATTATTGCTATATTCGCCGACTGATTTTTTTTTAACCTTAAGTATTGATAATGGAATTACCACCTAATATTTTCAAATATCAACCAAAGTAAATTATTTATTAATTATCATGACTTTCTTTATAACTTAAAAAACTGCCAACCCGCCGCCGCGCCGCGCCCGGGACGCGGATGGCGAGTGCGGATATTTTACAAACAACTACAATTTTATTGCAGTTACTACACTCGAGTCTACTGATAATTGTAACAAATATCCGATAAACATCATTAATTTCCTCCTGAATGGCCTGTAAGCTGTAACATATTCTCTACAATATGTTACAGCTTACAGGCAATATAAAAAACACACAGACTTTGAATCACTGTGATTTAAAAGCGATAATATAGTCCATTTCTAACTACAGTGTTTTTCTATATCATATGGTACATTTACTTAAAATGTAGTACGTTATATTTACGTATATTAACTATATTATACGTATATTATATAGTACGGGTGGGTCCGTTTTAAACCAAAACTGTTATAATTTTGTTAATCTTATTGTTGCATTAATTACGTTGCAGAATAAATTTCTTGTATATGCTTTTCTGTTAGCCGTGTTTATTTTATACACAAAGTTATGTGCGTGAATACCTCTGTCTTATGTCCTCAGG